TGCCCAATGTGACGAAGTATGGTTAAACGTCTCCCATGACCGACAACAGTGGGGACATCTTCATCCAGCAGTGTATTTACAAAACGGTTATAAAACATGACAGTATTATGTGTCCATTGTATTTCCAGTAATTAGGTTCACGTGATCCCTGCAGCCACCAGAGGCTGCTATATGCAAGTTTCCCATTTGTTTTGTTCAACCAGATGTGAACTCAAGAGGCCAGGATGAGCCTCATTTACATTCATCACAATATAAATAAACTCCTTAAAAAAAAGTAAAAAAACGGTTTTATTAACAACTTCGTTTAACTCACGGTCGAGAAGTACGTCAATGGCGCAAGAGACACACGGCACAAGCTTTTTGTGCGGGCCGTTTCCACAGTTTAGAGACCGCTGCGTTTTTGACCTCCACACAAATATATAATTAATAAGCCGTCCATACAAAAATTGCTATTGCTTGAAAGGAGGCAATTAATTGATGCCTCTTTTCATACAGGCATGCATTGTCACCGGAGCTGAGTACGTGCGCAAAATGTTGAATTGATTGGACAACAAGAAGTCGACTATGGAAGTAGACTAACTTTTGATTACAAGATTTGACCACGACAAACACAAGTGAAGTTAAACAAAACCGTTGAGAAAAAAAAATCGATGTTTTATTCATATCGTGATCCCAAAAAGTGACGCTAGTAGCTGTTTTCCCTCTGGAACTCCAACGCTCTACATCATGTTGTGATCTGTGAGCGGCCACTGCGTTGTTGAGGTGAGATTGGAGCATTATGGCAGCGCTTGGCTATTAAGACCCTGCCATAAACCTCAGTGTAATGGAATTGGTTATGGCAATCTATGATCTTATCTTCGACTCATAAAACCACTTTACGGTGCACTGTACAGACCAAGCTTAACAATACGCACACCAAAATCTCCATACATTGTTCAGCAATTGAAGTCCAGCTGGGAAATCTATTGTTACGGTTTTCTATATGACATCACTGGCTATTTCTCCGTGTGTCTGTATTTTGGGCCTTACCTAGTGACATTCAATATTTGTTTTACATTACAGATTTGAAATCGCGAGTATAAATTGAAAACTAAATTAAGTCCAACACAGCCGTAACAAGCATTATTTACTCATTGGCTCGAAACGTGAAACGTTTTCAGTCTGAATCATCACACTATGCAACACAATTTTTGTTCCTGGGTACTAAGTATTATTTTTTAATTGCTTATGCCTAAAAAGTAGAGAAAATGGCTTTTATTCCCCACAAACGTTGCTTTTGTGACCAGGACTTGATGTGAACGAAAGACACAAATGCACACGTTTCTCATTGAAAATATGTAAATTCAAAAATATCACTGTCCTGGTCACAAAAGCAAAGTTTGTGGGGAATAATAGCCATTTTCTGCACTTTTGAGGCATAGGCAATTAGGAAATAACACTTAGTACCCAGGAACAAAAAAATGTTGTTACAGTGTTATAAACAGTTTCAGCATCAAATTTTGATTTAAAGTTTTAGTGACTGCAGGGATTCATATTCTTGGTTCTTTCGGTAAAGTCACGTAGAAGGGAAATAATAAAATAATACAAATATAAAACAATAAAAATTCTCACGACGTTTCGACTGCAACACAAGCAATCATCATCAGGTGTGAAATCCACAGCAAGAATTTTTTTTTCAAATTTTCTTGCTGTGGATTTCACACCTGATGATGAAACGTCGTGATGATTTTTATTGTTTTATATTTGTATTAGTTTCAGCATCGTTATACGTGCCCACTGTGTCTCGTTCTACTGGCTGTGAACCTTACCGAGAATACAGGGGGTGGGTGGTAGAACACAGGGGTGGTAGAACACAGGGGTGGTAGAACACAGGGGTGGTAGAACGCACGTGTTGCCCTCTTGCTCCTGTGCTCTGTGCCTCTATGTCACTGGAGGGTCCGGCACCCCCACGGTCTCTCACTGGGCAGCCACCACGCACGCAGGGAGCCTTCCAGGCGATGTTGAAGAACGACAATGGTGCTCGTTAATTCGCACCGACTCACTCGCTAACGCACCGGCACACCAATCGGGCCTGCAATGTCTTATTCCAGGACAGGACTTTGATGTACTTGCAGTACATACCTATCAGCAATTGTATTCTCCTTTAGCAAATTTTGTAACAGTTGCTGTATTAACAACACGCAACAAAGGTGACACTTATGGCCATGAAAAGCCCCGTGACTGACATCCATAGGAGCCTAATAGGCAACACATGCTGAGATGAAACCTTGCTTAAGAAAGAAATCCTCACTTATTTTGTCTGTTACAGCATGGTTTACGTTTTTGCTCATTATTCGTCGCTAGTTTGTCAGAATAATTTGAATGGTCCAGTCTTGGAGCAATAACAACACTACTGCAGCCAACAACATTCCCAATGGTTGAGTTGGTCGGTGGGTCGCACAAAGTAACAATTAATGATAATAATTGACAGCCGTTTGTAAATCCACTGCTGCATGTAGGCCTCCCCTCACAGTGCAGGTCATGGGAATTATTTGACCATCGGTTGTAAATTTTCATTTCGCAAAAGAAAAAGCAACTTAAATTTCGATTTAAAGCTTTCGTGACTGCAGGGATTCATCTTCTTGGTTCTTTCGGTAAAGTCACGTAGAAGGGAAGTAATAAAATAATAAAAATAAAACATAATAAAATAAAGAGAATTATTTTATTTTATTATGTTTTATTTTTATTATTTTATTACTTCCCTTCTACGTGACTTTACCGAAAGAACCAAGAAGAAAAAGCAACTTAACTGTCTAAAAAAAATAGTTGGACATTATATTGTCTACCCTGACTTGCTTCAAGGCAACTGGGTCAGTGCGTCCTGGCGAATGGGAGAGATAAAAACAATTCAGATATCACGAGCCACTGATGTGGCCCAGACTGAAACTCGCAGATCCCAGCTGAGTGGCGCTAACTGCTGCAATACTTTTTTTTCGATTTAAAGCTTTCGTGACTGCAGGGATTCATATTCTTGGTTCTTTCGGTAAAGTCACGTAGAAGGGAAATGATAAAATAATTGCTCGTGTTGCAATCGAAACGTCGTGAGAATTTTATGGTGAAATTTTTCTCATTTTATTATTTCCCTTCTACGTGACTTTGCCGAAAGAACCAAGAACATGCTGCAACACTGTTTATCCCAGCTACAGAGTGCTCGGGCATCATTCACATGCAAGGCTGTCTTATACCACGAAGACGAAATGCACGTAACTAAACCGCACCGGTGTTTTGTGGATGCTACTTACTGTGCCCGAGAGCCCGTATTGCACTGCCTGCTCAAATATTCATAGCTAAAGGTGGTAAAATCCAGCCTCCATTTGGCTAAGAGTTAATCTCTCCATATACAGTACCTTTGAGGCCCTGCATTTTTTTGTATGTAGTCAGCAACACCATTTGATCTAATACTGCATTGACCTCAGCTCTGGAGTTTCGAGGTCAAAATAATTTGCAATAAATCACAATTATTCCCCCATTGCTCAGGTGTCATATCGAAGCGATGCCATTTACAATTGACTTGCTCTTGTCACTAAAAAATGCATGTTTATCTTTCGCATTGAATCTCCCTCTAGTTAGTTTTAATGGGGAGACTGGCAGATTTTTTTTTTAAAGGCACACAAAAGGTGACCATTAATGTCATCCAATGTTCTTGATTTTTAAAACGTCAGCCGTTACACGTTGGGTTGGCGGCTGTATATTTTTGGCTTAAACCTAAGAATACTGGACCGCACAAATGTTTTGGTGTATTGGAGTTCAACTTACTGGTGGGAAACATTTCACGGTTGTTACTCACTGTATCCATTCGGTGTCTAAACAAAGCTTTTGTCTTCTACTCTCAAATACACTTCTGCCACGCAGCAGTCACCAGGAAAATACATTATCTGGTTGTGCATTGACCTTTGTGGCCCCATTAGCCACTAAAGGTGTCAATTTTAAACCCAGATGACCACCAAATTAAACATTGCACTCAAGAATTGAAACCTCAATATCCAGTGAAGCGTTGATTATTCATATAAACTATGCCAGAATTACAAGCGCCCTATTTAAAGTAAAGAACGGTGGATAATGCATTGACATGTCCGTGAAGAGGTCAGAATGCATGGCCATGACGGTGATTATAATTTTCAAAGCGTTGTCCCATGCTGGTATATTAAAACCTTGCTGTGTATCGCTGTTACTGAAACGGGCACACGTACACACAACAACCCGTAACAATAGCAGCTGAGGGCGTACATCCTAATGAACAAACTGAAGGCATCACAACAGCCGATTATAATTGCACAGCAGCTTGTAAAGTGCAGTTGGCCATCTGTAAGATGTGTTGTGGAAACTGGGAATTAAAAATGGACTCATTTGAGATGCATATTCCACTGTTATGGAAACAAACCTGGGATCCAGGTGACCGTGTACACATGCACACAACGTAACAGTAGACGGTGCATACGTCAACTTAATGCGTACTGATTCACACGTGGTTCGAACAATACACACAACTGATACATGCATTATACATAGTTAATCAATTACACACAAAGACAAAGCCCCCCCGTATAGCCTTAACAGTAAGTTAAGGCAAATGCTGTTAGCAGCACCACGCCCGATCGCCTTTGTCTCACCCGTATCTATGTTTACACATCGCACCAGCAACTCATTTGAAGCAGAGTCGACCTCGATGCACACATCACACGTCAACAGTTTACACATTACACGTCAACAGCTTACATATTACACACTCACATATACAGTACTAAACAGCCCATACATTACAGTACAGGCACACACCGTAGTTCATAAAGTAAACACATCACACACCGCGCGTATCACACGCACCGAAATGAAAAACCCATTCAAATCACTTCCGATAAAGAACAAAAGCGGCCGCTACTGCTGCATCGGCATCATCATCATCATCTGTATCATCATCATCATCCCAAAACTTGAGTTTTTCTCTACTTCGGACCCCGTACCTGCACCAGGGACCAACACCATCGCCGCCACGGTCCAGGGAATGAGCGCTCCAGCCATCATCATCACCACCATCACCACCATCACCGTCACCGTGACCATCACTCGGCGAACTCTGCGCAAAATCTCGGCGACCCTCCGGTGCGTGCGTGCCTGTGACAAGGACACGCTCCCGACTCCCTCCTCCTAACTGGACCGTAGGAGGGAAACCTTCTCCACGGATCTTCCCACGCCGGGGGATCCTCTCGACTCGGTGGTTGTGTGTGTGTCGGCGGCGGCGGAGGGGATGGATGTGGTGGGATGAGTGGATGGTGAACGAGGAGGCTCCGACAAGACGTCACCGCACACAGTGAAACCCCTCCCCGACACCGCCAGCGCAGCAGCCTCCCTCGCCTCCTCCCTCCCGGAGCCAACAAAAGGCCGCAACGAAGCTGCACAAATACATCGGCGGTGTTATGCTGGCAGGAACCTCATGCTTACACCAGCCCACAGGGGATTATTGTGTCCGTCCGTCCGTTTGTGGGGAGGGGCTGAGTGGGGAGGGTGGGGAGGGGCTGGGTGGGGAGGGTGGGGAGGGGCTGGGTGGGGAGGGGCTGAGTGGGGGGTGGGGCTGGGTGGGGCTGGGTGGGGAGGGGGGCTGGGTGGGGAGGGTGGGGAGGGGGGCTGGGTGGGGAGGGGCTGGGTGGGGAGGGTGGGGCTGAGTGGGAGGGGTGGGCTGGGTGGGGGGGAGGGGCTGGGTGGGGAGGGTGGGGCTAAGTGGGAGGGGTGGGGCTGAGTGGGAGGGGTGGGGCTGGGTGGGGGGGCTGGGTGGGGCTGGGTGGGGAGGGTGAGGAGCGGCTGGGTGGGGAGGGTGGGACTAGGTGGGGAGGGGCTGGGTGGGATGGGGCTGGGTGGGGAGGGGCAGGTCACCCCGTGGTGCCCTTATACAACTCAACGTTTGTGCCCGCCCTCACAGTCGGGCATATTTGCGGAATACACCACGCCGCCGTTGACCCTGCAGGCCATTGACCGAGCAACCCAACGTTCCTACCAGCTCCGTCCGCAGGAGGAATGTGTTATATGGTGGCCGAGTGGAGTGCTTTGAAAATGAGGTTTTATTGCCGGCCACGGCGAACAACATCCGTGAGCTGATTCTAGATTTGAAGTTTTCGTGACTGCAATGATCCATACTTTTTGGTTCTTTCGGTAAAGTCAAGTAAGAACCAAAGAGTATCCGTGAGCTGGTTGGTATCTGAACGGGTCCTGGGTGCTCACCAGCGTGGTCGCAGTCCGCTCGCAACATACCCAAGACTCACGACAAGGGGACGCCGTGGATTTACAAATCTATCTCATCTGATAGAGCTTTTCACCTGATGATGATGATTGCTTGTGTTGCGATCGAAACGTCGTGATTTATTTTATTTTATAACCTACACCGAAAGAACCAAAGAGTATATATCTCATAGTATGAGATAGCCGGTAAAGCGGGTTTGGTTCACTTTCTATCGGCTAAAGCCCCATACTCCACTCGAGGTGGATTACTCGACTGGCGTTTAGCACGAAACTCAAAGCCACGTAAAATAGCTGAACCAAATGAATAAATAACATTCGAGCCATAATTTTGGTTGTCGCAAATTTCGAAACATTTGGTTTTAGGATTGTGTGCCAAACTTCTATTCAGCTTTTTAAAGTCCAATAAGCACCACATGTATTAACTTATAGTGGTTCCACCCAACAAGCGTCAAGGTTATAGTTGAAATATCAGGCTGGAACAGACTCGACGTTTCATTCCTTCGGGCCAATAAAAACACATTCCTGCGGAGGGAGCTGGTAGGAACGTTGGGTTGCTCGGTCAATGGCCAGGGTCAACGGCGGCGTGATGTATTCTGCAAATATGGCCGACTGAGGGCGGGCACAAGCCGGCTTGAGTAGGTTAAACGTTGAGTTTTATAAGGGCACCACGGGGTGACCAGCCCCTCCCCACCCAGCCCCACCTCGCCCCACCCAGACCCACCCAGCCCCTCCCCACCCAGCCCCTTCCCACCCAGCCCCTCCCTGCACGACGGACGGACACAATAGTCCCCTGTGGGCTGGTGTAACCAGGAGCTTCCTACCAGTACAAGTTTCACTAACTTGGCAGCAAACTAGTAGGTAACATCTGGAGACTGGTCCTCGTTATAGAGGAATGTGAAATGCGTACCATTAGATTGGCTAGAAAAAGCATGACCACCACCCCTTCTGAATGTGGATTTAAATGGGGTGTTTTGTTTTTCATTAGGTATACCAGTTTGATGAACTAATGTGCCCATGTATGGAAGTAGAACTTATTTCGCACCGTACGTAGCCAACAGTGCTAATCGGAGGTGTCAGTCATGACGCCAACATGAAAATATTGCAAATCTAGAATTAAACACCACATTTCGTTTTTATTGGTCGGTGTCAATTTAATCTCATACCCTTTTTATTACGAATATTGATCTTGCTGATTAAAAATATAGGTCTAGGTGACCTGGGGAAACTTCTTGTTCCCAAAAGCAAACATAAGTTGTCACAAAAAGTGACACAGTGGTGGAAAAACATGTTTACGACTGATTCTACAAAACCATGACCAAATGTCAGTGAAACAAGCCATTTTGTCACTGACACCATATTTTGGTTAAACATTTGGTCAACTCTATGGGGACCTCATTTGCCAGTAAAAATATGATAATTGGTTCTTTACCCTTCTATCTGGCAACAAAACTGACACCTTTTTACAAGGAGTCATGTTTGCATAGACCGCAATACCTGCAGTCATAAATACAAACAAAAGACATAACTCTGATAATGACAAAGACATAACTCTGATAATGTCAGTGACAAAATGGCTTTTGGCGTCTTCTGGTCCAACCCATGTGAGACTAGGCTCGAAGGAAAGCTGTCTCGGGTGTGGACCAATCAACTTCAAGGACAGTGCACATTATCAGTTATGTCTTTTGTTTGTATTTATGACTGCAGGTATTGCGGTCTATGCAAACATGACTCCTTGTAAAAAGGTGTCAGTTTTGTTGCCAGATAGAAGGGTAAAGAACCAATTATCATTTGGTCAACTGTTATTGAAACCGCTCTGTTAACTTCACTTGACACCCTGCTAGGATTTACAGTAGCTGCAATATTCATATTCTTAGGTTTTTTCGGTAAAGTCACGTAGGTAAAACATCAAAATTTATAAAAAAAATAAAATAAAGATCACGATGTTTCGGAGGCAACACAAGTCTCCGTCATCAGGTGGGACCGTCACAGCCAGATTAGCTGCATCAAGTGAGGCAATGATTCAAGATGTAATCCCTTAAAAGCGAGTTGAGGGGGGAGGAGAGGGGTGGGAGCTCATCAGAATGTGGTAGCCAATGAATCAATGTGGCCAAGTGGCGCCCCCTTTCGTGTTTGAACATGGAGACACTTGGACTGGAATTGAACTCTATGGGAACCTCATTTGCCAGTAAAAATATGATAATTAGTTTTTTACCCTTCTATCTGGCAACAAAACTGACACCTTTTTACAAGGAGTCATGTTTGTATAGACCGCAATACCTGCAGTCATAATACAAGCAAAAGACATAACTCTGATAATGTGCACTGTTCTTGAAGTTGATTGGTCCACACCCGAGATAGCTTTCCTTAGAGCCTAGTCTCACATGGGTTGGACCAGATGACGCCAAAAGGCGCACAACTCAAAGACAATGCACCATCAGAGTATGAGAGCTCGGGGCAAGCATCTACACTATGGGAACCTCATTTGCCAGTAAAAATATGATAATTGTTTTTTTACCCTTCTATCTGGCAACAAAACTGACACCTTTTTACAAGGAGTAAAAAGGTGTCAGTTTTGTTACCAGATAGAAGGGTAAAAAACCAATTATGGAATTGAACTGTTAGGTCCGCCCTCTGGTGGCCTCCTGAAGTATGACGCCATAATAAATACAGCTCTGTATATGCAATGGCACTTGCATTATAATTATCAATGACATTTTGGTCACTTATTTGGCTCCATATTCTGGGCTCGGGTGAAACCGGGTGAAGGTTAAAAGGGGCAATTCCCCCTCACCCCCACCTAAAATTTCTAGACTGCCTTTGTAGCATAGATATGTACCATTTATTATTCTTTTTCACTGATAAAACATTGTGGTGACTGATGCACGTCATTACAATTATTGATGTATTGTACTGTGCATTGTATTTTAGATGCATTTAATAAATCGTAGAAATGTTATTGTATATGCAATCACTAGTGTCAACTGAAATGAGTGACTTTGTACAATTTGGCCCCTCAATAAAGTTTAGCTAGTTATGCCACTGACTTTAGGCACGATTTCAAAAATTTGAACACGCCCCGACGGTATGGTAATCACTAAAATGCAAGTAATGCACAATTTCCCAATAACCACTGACCATTGTCACTGCGCAAACGGTCCCTCTCACACAATGAATAAGTCATCTCTGGTGCGATTCCCCCGAACGGTTTATTGCTTATAAGTGGAACAGATTTCCTAGGGCTGGTATTACAAAACGTAAACACGGCTGAAACTACATCGGTATTGAAGGCAGCAGAGTTCTCGTCACAGAAACACAACAAGGTGGATGCCCCCTTCACTTGACTGTGGCACCAGTCCTCGGTGGGCAGCAATGGGTTGAGAGGACTTGCCAGGCTCAAGCACTGAAGCCCTATTTTTTTTTTTTACAGATTACCACAATAATGCCGAGATGTCTATTTTCTGTGGCGATGAGATTCACACACGTTAACACGCATTGCTGATTACGCACTTGCTTCACTTCAGATACAGTAATACTTTTCACAAAATGAATGTCAATTACAACAGTTTATCGTTTCTATAATTAATTGTCGCATATTTACTTTTAACTTTCAGCGTAACGACGTTATAAAAATATCAAACATTCAGCTATAACAATTCTAATTCCATCACCCAACTCCTATAAATGGACTCTGCAGGAGTTACAATATAACCACATTAGCAACTGGAGCACTCATTTGGGCAATCACCAACGACCAGACGCCACGACAACAGGCTTCCACCTGCAGTATAACAAGTCGGCCACACGAGCAAAATGCAACGGGAGGGACAGATAATTGCACATCACAAGCAGACACGGAGCCATGCAATGAAACCAGGCTGATATGTCAGGCTTACACCGCACGTACCGCATGTGCAAAGAAAAAACACAACACCGTCCACTACTGCGTGAAACTTATTAAAAACCTAAAAGATGAGCTACTCGTAATAACAAACTTACCCATTTGCCATTCTCGTTGCTGCCATACAAATGCAGCATTTTCTCCAATTGTATTAACTGATCGTTTATGTTACGGCTGTAACGTATGGATAAACATGTGCACATATAATAGAGCTGGCTTTCTAAGATTGACGAAGCACTAAATTAATGGATTGAGCTGGTAATGGTGTGCAAGCACAGGCCAAAGACACCTCGGCATTGCTAACAATGCCCAAAAAAGGTGCCACTGCCAAACAATGTCTGCCGATTGTATATATTGCTGTTGTACGGCAGTGTATATGGCAGCCGTGAGGCGGATTTAGTCTGAATAAGCAAATGGATTAGAGGAAAAACCTTGCCCTTCATCACTTAACATCATTGGTTCCCAACACTAAATTTGGAAATATATATTTGGGACTCGATCTTTCTTTCCTGTCTTGGTAAAATTATTACATTGACCAATACAGTACTTTTGGTAAGTTGCATAATATCTATTTTAAAGCGACATTTCCCCATAGTTTTCAATGGATATCAGTGTGAATCAAAGGGTAATTTTATGCAGTTGGCCAAAGACCTTCAAAGTGGAAAAAGAAAATGCAGATTTTCCTCCTCTGCTAGGCACATGGGTTTTTACTTACAGGAGAAAGCATAAGCCAATAGCGATGTCCAAGCACTTGGCTTCTGATTATTACTGCAGGTAACCAAACTAGCCAACATGTCCACGCTAACAGAACACTGCTCTCATTTTGAATCATATAACAGCTTACAATAATGCTGTGCAAACAAAATTTATCCAGCAAAATAAAACGTTGAATAAATAAACCATAATTAAATTCAAAGTTAAAAACAACATTTCTTCGTTCAATGTTCACCTCAGCTTTTGGAGTACCATCAAACACACTTGAGAAAGAGTTGTGCCGTTCACTGCAGGGCCTTGACTACAAGACACTTACACTTAAATAGGTAGGAAAATACTAGTTTTTTTGTGAATCACATGTATACAACAGCGTCATACATTCTCAGTAAATAATTTGTAATGCGAGATTAAACAGTCTATTGATTCACGCTGTAATAATTTCGTTACAAGCAGACAAGTGATTGCAATTCGTGACCTTCAAAAACTTCGGATATAAGCTAGTAACAATGGAAATATGCAAGAGCACCAATAACCTTGAGAAATAGGATTGTGGGAAAAACTTTTAAAATGAGGTGGAACACACTGACAGCTTTGGTAGCGAGGAGGCCTTGTGGTGTGTATACATGCCAGTCTTTTTTTGCAATGGCTCCGAGGGTAAGTTCCATTTCCACCTCCTAACATGGAAAGGCATTGTCAAGACTTACTGTCGATTGCAAATGGAATATTAAAATACCCTGTGACATAATTTATCAAGAGGACGCCAATGATTGCTGGTATCAGTCTAATTTTAAACAAAAATATTACACCTTCAGAATGAATGGTTTTCAAAGTCTTGTGTTCACATCATGCACTCAACTGGTGAAATGAAACAACGCAATTGATTCCCGCAGAAATTTTAAACCACAAAAATCTTACGTTTGTCAAAGGAAATTGGTACTTTCACAATCTTACATTGCACCTGCCGACAACAGGATTTTTCAGCTACCACATCAAGATGAGGCTTCAGTGTATTTTACAAATATCAGTTTACTCTGTGCCACTGCCTATCAAGTAATCAGTCTCAGGTGTTCTAAGCGAATGCTTTCTCTTATGCTTTAAGACATTTTCTCCATGCACTGTACATCAACATATATTGTTTGACCTCGTGTAATTGTATGAACGTAACAAATGGGCTCTGCTTTATCACACTCGGAAATTTAAAAACCATACGATCACGTCTAAAACACTAACACTGTAAGCGTAAACTAACAGAACACACACTCTTTTGTGGCCTTAAAACCTACATTTCATGATAATGGGTTCCAGACCACTGCACTGTTCAACCAGGAAGGCTTGTGATGCAATGGCAGTCAATCAGGTATGGGACACTGTGGAACATCCCCATAAATAACAACAGGCAAACCAAGAGCATGTGATGTCTCAATCACCAGTCTGAAGTATGCTCTTTTGCACATTTGGGTGTAATACAGACATAATCAGGCAGGACTCCGTGTATTTCCAAATGAGCAACCCTAGTTGAATGAACCATACTTTATATTGGTACTGCATTGGCAGTGGTGCAAAAACACAAATAAAAAAACTCACATTTAACTATGCCCTGAAATGAAAATATTTAAAATCGGTGACGATTAGGGAAAATGGCGCCTTTTTATTGATTATTTCATAGAATAAGTCAGATGTACTAACACAGCATTTCCACTTGCAGATGCCAATTTAACCAACTTGTAAGATAAACATTGTTAAATTGCAAAAATATTAAACCGGCTGAGCAATGTGAGCTTCTGCATGGTGAAAAAAAAAGAATATTATCAACATCATAATCATCTACAAACGTTCCCAACACCCAGTCTTTCACCCAATTTCAAGCTCAAAAAGTGACCTCGTTTTATGACAGCCCAACCGCACGAACAAAATCTGTTCTTCTCATCTTTATTTGAACAAGATAGATATTATTACTGAACTACGTCGAAAAGATAATGGTGCAGTAGCTTCAAGCTTTGCTGGTGAAAATAAAGTATTTTAAATGTATTTCGGTGACTTTTTTTTTTTACAAAGGACTAAAAACATTAACTTTTCTGGCTTGACAAAACTGTCATTTTTAAAACTTGCAGTGGACAAGAGTGTATACCTCACTTTGTGTGAGGCAATGTATATTTAAATTGGTGCAAGTGAATTATTACATTTTAGCGTGATAAAATTGTCATGCCACCATGAACAAAAAATTGTCAAGTATAATTCTCACGTTGACAGGAAACAGCAGTACATGCCAAAATGTGGCAGAAAAATGGCTATATCGCCACCATTTGTTGGGAGATTAAACAATTTTTTGACACTGAATAACAGTGAATACTACCTTCCGAGGAACAGGTGAATTATAACTCAACGTCTCAATAGATTCTCACCTGGTAAAAAAATGGCTGCTGAACCGCAATGTGTAAAAAGTGTCAGATAAGAGAGAATCCAACAGTTTGGCTGAATGGGATGATGATGTGGACCCTTCCAGGCATCGCTTTCGAGACTCAAGTCTCGTGTCCCGGATCCACGTGCCGAGCTGGTCACCGATTCACACCGATGTCTCGGTTTGAACGCTGAACCTCTTGTCCTTGTGGCCATCCAGTCTAATACGCTCTTGGCTACAAGGAAACAAAGGTGAGACAGTTACAGCAACAAGGTCAGCGCACAGGCAATCGCCATCAATAACACACACACGGACATTTCCATGCACAATTTCTTAAGAGAGCAACATTCAAGCAATATTGAAATTAATGCATTTGCAGTTTACATTTGTAGCAAAGCACACGAATGCACCACAAGTTCAAAGCAATTTATACATAAATAGAGAGATTACATTGTTCATGCACTGTGGATGACTTTGACGCTCAGTACTGCTTTTTATTCCCAGTGCACCATCTGATCACTCATGTGATTGTCAACATCGGAGCACAAAGGGTGCGGCAGACTGATAAGAATTCACTACTCGCAGAGCTTCTCATCTCGTTCATCACTAACTTTCCCCCCCCCAGATAACGATTGCCTACACAGTGTAATGGACAGGAGGTGCACATCGTGTACAAAGTCTGGCGACAGAACGTCGCTACCGTCAAACGAAAGGAACCCAGGAGAGACGATCATGCAAAGGAAGTTTATTGTCATTCAAGCATTCACTAGGGAGGTCACCTCACAAATGCACTGTGGCTCACATGCTTGCAAGGCATTATTGATGCAAAGTTTTCAAGGCATTTACTGAGTGCGCAACACCAACTTACCTATGCAGGCCGCAATTCTAAATGGGGCATGGGGTAGATGGGCTGATAATATAGGGATGGGATACGCTCGTCAGAAAGAAAATCTCGAACAACAAATATTTATAACCATGCTCTTTAACATGTACATTATGACAATATGGGATAATGCAAACAAATGTATGTAATAATTGCACATGTACAGCCATTTTGTCAGCCCACTGTTAAATGAAAACTAAAACTAAACTATTTTATTTGCCAGGTAAAGCCCACTGAGCTATTAGCTCTTTTTCAGAAACTACCTGGCCACAAATGATAGCTCAACCAAGTGTCTTATCACGTGTGGAAATTTATAACAGCCAACTAACCTAAACACAAGTTTCTAAATGTCGAGAGAAAAACTGGAGGATCCAGAGAAAAACCCATGGGACCACGGGGAGAACATGCAAACTCCAAATATACAGGCGTCAGGGTCGTGACCGAACCCACAACCTCCTTCATACCAGGCGAGGGAGATAACATCTCGCCACCATGGCACTCCTTCGCATGCCTTATAGGCCATGAGGAATATTTGACCATACTTCGTCATGATGGTCATTGCGAGTTGGTCAAAGTGGGGGGAATACAGAACAAACACATTCCTGCGGAAGGAGCTGGTAGGAACGTTGGGTTGCTTGGTCAATGGCCAGGGTCAACGGCGGCGTGGTGTATTCCGCAAATATGCCCGACTGTGAGGGCGGGCACAAGCCGGCGTGAGTAGGTTAAACGTTGAGTTTTATAAGGGCACCACGGGGTGACCAGCCCCTCCCCACCCAGCCCCACCCTCCCCACCCAGCCCCACCCAGCCCCTCCCTGCACGACGGACGGACACAATAATCCCTTGTGGGCTGGTGTAACCAGGAGGTTCCTACCAGTATAACACACAGTGGTGCTAACCCATTCAAGCACAACCCAGACTCCATTCTGCTTGGCTCACAAGATCCGTCACGCATTTAGTACATATGGATTGGTTTAAGCCATGTTAAAGAAGCACTGCAAATGAACGGTTACAGTGATGCACAGATCAACAGGGCATTGGATACCAAAACCAAATCAAATAACAAGAGCAATGGAAACTGCTCAACTAATTAAAACGATCAAACTACCCTACATTGCAGGAGTAACTAATAAACTAGCCAGATGTTTGGACAAACAAAACATCTGAGTCAGATTTGGCACGGTAAATAAAATACAGAAATTAATATCTGGTAAAAAAGATGTATTACCGAAGCTATCAACAGAAGGTGCGTACAGGATTAAATGCACGTGTGGCAAATGTTACGTTGGGCAAACAGGACGAATGATCAGCACGAGACTAAAAGAACATCAGAGAAATATGAAATTATCCCAAATACAACTGTCAGCAGTAGCAGAACACGCGTGCCAACAAGGGCGCTCAATAGATTTTTTATAATGTTGAAGTTTAGTGCAAAACTAGCTACTACTGGCCAAGACTAATTAGAGAATCTATCGAAATTGAAAGAACTCAAAATAACTTAAACCGTTCGGATAGCTACCGTCTTAGTGCTGCGTGGAAACAAATCATCAAATAATACATTATTTAAATGCATGCCAACAAAGGGCAACATACTTCATTAGGGATTACCGTTGGTAGGGTTATCTTAATTAACACAATAGATAGGAAGGACACGTTCAAAGGGCTCGCATAATGCACATGCATAATGTACGTTGCCTCAGTAATCCCCCCCCCCCCGCCATTGTGCAAGAGCGCAGAAGTGTGGTCAACACATCTTACCCTCTACATAAGGAACAAAACAGTAAAAATTCTCCACAAATCTGGCTGTCGTCTGATGAAACGAGTTGTAATTACTGACGAAACGTCGTACTCAGATTGTAAATGTTGTGGCTTGGCTTTCCAACACACCGGTGTGCTGTACTCGTGACAAATTGGCATGTTCTGTTGACATGACAACCCTTACTAGTTGGCTGTGTTGGGTGGTGGCGGGTATTAATGACACATTTATATATTTACGCGATCTAACCCAAAAACCTCTATGATGGATACATATGTGTAGTGACATCGCGGGATGTCACTGTGTGATGTCGGCCCCGAGAGAGGCACGGCGTGCGGTGTATTGACATCGCGGACACCACTTGGATGTGGGTGCAGTACCGGCCCGAAAGGGGCTCGGTGAGCGCTGACTGGCAGTGCTGGATGGCACCATGCTTGGCGTGCAGTGCCGTCCCCGACAGGATAGGGTGCGGGAGTGCCGGCCATGGAAATGGGGTTACTAAAGGCCATGGCACTCTGGTTGACCCCAGAGGACACGTGACCGGTAAAGTCTACACAGGAGCCCCAAGTGGGGGCTAGGGGTGGTCACGTGTCAGGTCGAGATCCTGCTCGAGGATTCTCGAAGGTGGTCGTGGCCAAGGGCGGAGTCGGCCACGCCGCAGAGGATATAAGCCGGGTCCCCCAGAGGGACCGGCTGCTGTTGTTTATCCTGAAGAAATCTACGTTCTTCGTTCTACGTCCTACAGTCTCCAACACGTGGACCTGGACCCAAGCTGTGGTCCAGTCCATTGTAGCTAGTTATGTTGTAACTAGTGTAGTTAGCCTGGTGGTCACCACCATAGGTTGTTATTCTGTTAAGGGGCAGTTACAACGTGTGTTGGTGTTAAATAAATGTGTTGACTCCAAAGAGAACGTCTGCGACTCAGTTGAACTCACTACATATGGATTAGCATTTTAACTATTGGTTTCATCTATATATATAAACGGAAAATGTGTGAATATGTGTGTCTGTTCGAAATGTTTAATAGACTTTTGTATTTGGGGGGGGGCGCAATAATGGATATAATGTATTGCACGGCAAGTGAGCGGTGATGTCACATCTGTGATGTCACCCGCATGCGTCAGCGTCACGCAGTGTGCCTGTGACGTCACGCATACCCCCACCCTCCGCGTAGGCCGTGTATCCCGCACAAATGCGTGGCTGGGGGGGGGGGGAAATAATCTATATAAACTAGGACTAAACTATTAATTTCCGTGCGAAGAACAGGTACACCTGCTCGTAGTTGATCAAATAAATACCACTCTGTGAGATGTTAAGAGTGCTTCTCATCATAAATCAAAGAAATGTGGACTTTCCACTTCTGGCTCAGGCCAACAGATATGAGCATCTCCCATTGCTTGTTTGAGCAGGAAACCACTCTGACTAGACTGACTTCCACGTATTAGTACGGCTGGCGACATGTTCACAACCCACCAGTATTCGAGTTTCTTGGTTTCAGAATAAAAATGTCAGTGTCTTCATTAATTTTAGTTGGTATTTGGTCGAGTCTACAAGTTGTGGAAATGTAAAATGTTAGTCTGTGGACTTGATTTGGTGATTCTGTTAGTTTAGTTGAAGAAAGCAGAGTTGAAAATGAGGTTGGCTCACAGTTTATGAATGTTGGTGTGAAGGGTGCACACTCCATGCCCCCCCCCCCCCCACCAGGTGAATGTTATTGTATACATAGAGAGAGCCAATTACCATTTTCGGTCGTCCTCAATGTGCTGCAGGCTCTATGCAATTTGTTAAATTATCTGAGTCTGCGCCTTCATTCAAATTCGCAAAATTTGTCTCGTCATATTCAGTCACACTTTTTGGTATTTGATGGGTATTGGTGGTCAACATCATGTTTGATTTGTCCACTCTCAGTCATCGCTGAATACAATTTAAAGCTTTTCGTTGACAAATACTTTCGTCACTAAATCTTGTTAATAAAGTACATATCCTCTGTGTGTACCTGAATTGATTTGTAAATAAAATAATTTTGGAGAAAAAAAAATCTTGTTCGTAAAGTTACCACTGTGAAACATCCACATTGAAGGAGGCCTTAGCAACGGCAACCACTACACAGTCTACTGCCACCACAGCGAACACATCTTTTTTGTGATACTGTGTTGGCAGCGGTGCACGAGCACAAATAACTAACACTCAAAACCTGTCGATAACACTACCTTAAGAGGGGGAATTACATACGCTCCTGTAGTGATGTATGTGGCAATACCTCTTGGTTGCAGAGCTCTCCGCCTTCTCAGTGCTCCCAGTCACCGCCCTCCACATGGACGTCTTGTCCATTTCCTGTGAGATGTTGATGATGGATGGGTCCTCGTGACTACACACACGGTGGGGGGTGCAATGTGGGAGTCAGGGCGGAGAGGGCCGGGTCACATTTGCCACGGTGCCACATGAATAAACGTGTTTTTATGACTTTGGACGTCTTGGCGATGACGTGCAATACCATCCAGCGTTCAAATACATTATTATAACTACGATGTATTACTATAACACATACTGCTGTCTGGTTGAACACAGGCATGTTGTGTTGGTTGTGTGAACAGGGGCACACGGAGCAGAAACTGCATTGGCTGCACTCACCTGTACTTGATGCTTTTGATGGGGATGTTGAGAACGTCCCCCCCTTTCAGGGGCAGCTGGACGGTGCCCACGTCAGACACTTCAATGATTCCGTCGGGGTCCTGCAAGGGCACAACCATACACAATATGAATAACGACAAAGATCCCCCATGTAGGCTGCAACAGACTGTTTGGACAAGTGCTGTTAGCAAGCACCTATGAAGGCTGGAACAGCACACGAGGGGGTGGGTGGCCAACACTATGCCCGGCCGCCTTTGTCTTCCTGGTGGCTATGTTTACACACTGAACCAGGTAGTAATTTGAGGCTGAGTGGACCTAGGGGAGGCCCAGGACCGATTCAGATAATCGTCAGTGGTGTTGGCCATGAACGGGAATCGAATTCTGGTTGCCAGCTACACTCCCCACTATTTATACACACACACACTCAAAACAATGCTTTCGTTAATCACAGATCAGTCACCTCTTGATTACAGTTATATTGCTACTCATTGATTCTTCCACCCATGTTGAGGACTGTCGTCTCATCCATAACGTGTTCAACCACCACACTTGCAGGTCACGTAACTTATTCTTTTGCCTCTTCCCTTGCACTGCTCAACTTTGGAATTCCTTCACATTGTTTCTAGATCCGTGCTCAAGTCAAGAAACGCATTAACTTGTCAATTACACATTTAATAGTGTTGCTTGTTGCTAGCCGTTGGACCTGCGCTTAGAAATTGTGATGAAAAAGAATTGCGACGCAGTGGCTCCAGACCTATAATGCAAAGTGGCCAAGAACATACGGATATATTAATGGTAACTGTGAAAGAGGTGGACAAGCTTCTTGAATCAAGTTATGATGGCAAGGCAGATTTGGACAGGGAGTTCCTGTGTGAGGACAAAAATAGCTGGAAAATGAGCTCCGTCTGCAATGAGGGCAGCTGTGTGCAGTGTGGATGACAGCGGTCGGCCAAGCGTGGAAACCGTATCCTCGAAATAAAAGTCGAGGAAGCTGCTCCTGAGAGAGCAACAACGGCGAGCGGCGCGAAACATCTCGACCTCCCATCGTGCGGGCGTGCGGGCACGCGGGTGTCTCCCCAAAACTGCCCACCTCGTCCTTGTCATCGTCGTCATCTTCAAGGGTCTTCTTCTTACTCTCGGGCATGAGGTCGTCCAGCCAGCTCAGCTCGTGGTTGGTGAAGCACAGGTCCATCAGTTTCCGGATGAACACCAGTGCAAGCACCTGCACACAGAGTGGCACACACCCCACGGCAACGTGCAGGCACACAGGGAGATGATATTACACACCACCATCGCCTGCCACTATAATAATAATGACATTATATATAGTGAGTGCCTGTGGCTGAGACAAACAAAACAAGGTCCAAATATCCCATTTATCTATGCAGAAATGCTTAACAGTCTTATATTTTTTTTATAAAAGGGTCATTCATCTTATACATTTTATCTCTAAGAATATTTGCTATATTAAATTCAACAAAATAAATTGATGTTTTGTGCATATTAAATGTTGGTGGGCATCAGTTTTCTGCAACGCTGAGTCTGGTTTAATCATGAGTGGTGGAAACCTGGTTTGAATTCAAGGCTCTCAGGGGTGAGGGATCTGAGACACCCTGAGGCACCCAGCCAGATAATATTTCAATGAATGCACCATAAAAAAAGATCGGCATCCAAAATGTTTTTCTTAGAGTGTGGTGCAATCAATCCTGATACTGAAAACCAACTTGCCCCACATAAGGGGTCGCACCTTCCCAGAGAATTATTATAAAGCCATGGCCGTCCAACCGTTTTTAAGTGCAGGCCACATTGACAATCTCCTAAACTCTCTGAGGCCCCAGAGGGTCGCGTACCGCCGGTGCTCGCAAGCCTGTCAAATCCACGCTGCGAGCTCCTTCCTGCCCACAGGCCGTCGGTGGCATCGCACCCACGTACTGACGAAGCTGGGGCGAGCGGCGGACCTAAACAGTGCTGCGGTACCATGATGGGGAAGACGATGGCGGCAGGCGATGCCTTGATGACCCAGAGCAGCACGAGGCAGGAGACCTGGATGACGGTGAACAGGTGCACCTTGCGCAGCGGCACGTGGCGCAGGTAGATGAAGTCGGGCTGGTGTTTGGCCGGCATTCCGAGCAGCTTCAGCCGGTCAAACAGCTGTGGTCATAGGCAAATGCATTGGACTGGGTAAAATGTGACGTGGCATACTTCGGGCTCACAATCAGAATGGTGAGCGAGGAGAGACAAGTTTTTTTAAAAATAATGTTAAGAGCCTGCTGCAGTAGAATAACTTTTTTCTCTGAAGGAAGACCACTGCCAAAAGACTTTCCACAATGTACTCTTATTCACATTTCAGTGTTATTGATGCGTGTTTATGGTCAGTTGTGAAAGCAACGATGACTTCCAAGTTATACGTTCCCACTGGTTCACGATGTTCAGGGTTCGTCATCTCCCACCTGGATCCCACGCAGGGAGGAGGCGCCCATGTACAGGAACACACCGTAGAGCACAGGCATGGGGATGAACTGTTAAGAGAAAGGTGCACAGAGGATGCAGATTTGACAACAAGGTCAATGACCTCTGTAACAAGGATAGCTAAGACCCTGTAACATCACTCGCGAAGGTGAGCCATTGGGTGCGTGTGTCACTAATTCAGTGAAGGCCACCTTTCTTACCTTGAGCACTGTAGTCATGAAGACAGAGCAGCCCATGAGCAGGAAGATCATGAGCCCCGTGAAGCGCTGCTCGCGGATGCCCAGGAACTTGGGCTGCTCGCCGGGCGCGGAGCACTCCGACTCGAGCTTGAGGCTGTTGACGTGCGAGATGGAAAGCACCGTGGCCGCCACGAACCACGGCAGCCCCATGATGGAGCACACGCCCAGCATCAGCGCCACGCACAACAGGTCCAGGTGGTAGCCGCAGCCCTTCTGTGTATGCGCACGTGTGGGGGGTGTGTGCGTTTGGGTGCAAATTTAGGCGTGTGGGAGTGTGAGGGTAGAAGTGTGACATTGTGTGTGCGAGTAGGCGAGTGTGAACGTGTAGATGTACGTGTGTGACAGTGAGGTTGCCGAGTGTGCAAATGCACGTGTGGGCGTATGTGGGCGTGTGTGGGTGTGCGTATATATGAGTGAGCAGGTGTGGAGTTGTGAAAGCGCCGGTGTGTTCATGAGGTTGTTGAATGTATAATTGTGTGTGTGTGTGTGAAGTTTATCGTGGATTCGTATTGGTTTGTTTTTTGGAATAAAACACAGGCACAATGAGTAGACATTAGCATGAAATGCAGACAGCTGAGCATTACCAGTTACTTTAATGGCCTTGTCAATGCTGAAGTAAAGTTCCAAATAAATGAGGCATGTGTGGAAAGTTGTCTGCATGAAGCATATACATTATTTTTCGAGGTTATCTCTGGAAAGAAAGATCACCCTTATCTTAAAAAAGTCAAAATGTTCACTTGCTCAAATGAGCGTGAGGTGGTGCTCATCTCCATAGGCAATGTTTAGTGTGCAAAGGAAATCTCACATTCCTATGTCTGGGAGACAATTCCTCCAAAGGATATGTACACTGTTGACTTTCCACAAAGTGGTACTTGTTGAACCAGCACGTGATTTGCCAGCCTATCAGCGGTGCGGTGTACGCTGGTGGAATGCACACCTTGAGCTTGTGCTCCTTGCGGTTGATGATGACGGCCGTAATCTGCTGATCCATGAAGATGAGGATGGTGCAGAGCAGGGCAGGCACCAGCGCTGCCGGGAAGGTCCACCAGGGGTTGGTTCCAATGGGGTTCACGAACCAGCCGCGGTCATCGCGTGTTGGCTGTTCATGAGGATTGCACGGGTGAGACATCGTCTCCCATAGGTTCTTCTACCAGTACCCCAATGGTCAGTGCCATTCTAAAGAATCTTGCATTAATATACCCACATTTGTCTGTCAACCTGGAAGCGTGACCCGCCTGTTTTGATCTCGGTGCGTGAAATGTTTCTTGGCTTACCCACTGCTAAAGTGCTTTGCTCTCTTATTAACATTGAATTATGTTTGTGCAATAGTTTTCCTTTCTCGTGTGACACAGTTGCTTTTGTACCGATTTCTACTTGCTTCATTGATGTATTTTATTTAGTTTGTCTTTTGTCATTTTGGTGACTGAAGTAACTCTTGTAAATGAGACTCTATCCTGGTCTCTTGAGTTTTCACCTGGTTGAACAAAATAAAATCGATCTTGAATTTCCTCCTCCATCTTACCTATTACTGTTATTTTATACAGCATCATATTACATGAAATACCAATTTCTTTGGTAACTTGAACAAAATATGGCTTGTTAATGTGCTGGATATAAAGAGAAACAAAAACTAACATGAATTTGTAAAAATGTATATCATTATAAAAATGCAGAAGCTGCAACCAACATTTCTGGGTCATGGTAAGAATTGAGGAAGGCATATCGAGACCTGTAAGAAACAAACACAATCCAAAAACGATGACGTGTGGTTCAATTGTCGATCGCAGTACCTTAAATTCACTGGGGACCTGGAGTTTTGGGGAAGGGATCCCCAGAGCGTAGTCAACCAGCACCATGGACAGGATGGTGAGAAACACGGCAAAGTCACTGACCGATGATCGGACCTGGCACACAGGGGCACATAGATCCACTCACTCATTTCCCTGTACGATGTTGTACAGATGTAAATTAACTCGAAACAGAGTGTTCGCAATGTCGAACAATTTTTTTGTGGCGAAAAATGCTTCAGAATAGAATAAGGAAGCACCAGTTATAAATGTGTTTTTATCTCAACAGATTGTGGAAATGGCAGATACCACACATGCTGCACTCAAGACGGCAGGGTTGAGTTGCCACTAATTAGTGGCAAGGTTACGAATGTGTTTGTTTTATATATGTACGCACAAGTGTACACACACAGCTAAAGATCTTCATTTAGCCTAACATTTAGACCAATGGGCTAAATGTTAGGCTAAATGCAGATATGTGGTATCTGCTAATGGCAACGAAACCAAATTAGCACATAAGTGCAAGATCACAGCGCAGACCCAAGCACGAGGGATCAACATAATAGGGTAAAAAAAAAAATCTGTTAATGAGAGCACACAAACAACATACTCACACCGCACACTCAAAAAATGTACACACACAAAAACAACACGCACAGAAACAACATAAACCCACACGCAAGACACACAACATACATGCTCACATACATAAAGCATCACGTGCATAAAAACAGATGCAAATACAAAAAAAATCAACTCGCGGCACATTCACAAAGAGTGTACAAACGCACAAACGCACAATGGAACAGCACACAAACAATTTCCAACCACGTAACTTTGTAATTCAGGGGATGCGACAAGGGCGATGTTTTTAAAATGTATTTTTGGCCGCCATTCAGTGCAATTTCTATAAATTGGGACGGACCTTGGTAGGGAAGTAGCGCATGGTCTTGAACTGCTTGAAGAAGGCGGAGAGGAAAACGGTGCAGAAGAAGAGGATGACGGACCAGAAGAGCACGTCAGGGACGAAGGGCCCGTGGTGTCCGCACGCCGAGCCCAGAAAGTCCCCGTGCAGCTGCTGACAAGTCTGCTCTCACACGCAGAGCATAACGTCCCATTATTTAATTTAATCAATATTATTATTATTGCCCCTTTTTTTTTTACCCAGGAAGGCCTAAGTCTTCAGACTCTTTTTGTTGAGAGGGTCCTGTCAAGTTTTTGCAGCAGGGGGCGATGTTGCTGTTGTAATCCATTGAGTAATTTGAATGACATTTATCAGCAATTGGATGTTTGGCCAATACTAACTAAATTTCATGTTTTCATCGATTTTTTGCTATGGGAGGAAACTGGAGAACCCGGAAGAAACCCTTGCAGAACAGAGGGATTACAAACTCCACACCGATAGGCACCCGAGTCGGGAATCAAACCCTGGATGTTCTTCTTGTGAGGCACGAGTGTTTTCATTGCGCCACCCTACTCCACCAGTAACTCCCCAGTGACACCCTGCCTACCCAATAATTGGAAACATAACACGCAACACCATGGGTTATTTATATCTACACCTGGCCAGCAGACCATGTACCATTTAAGTCCATGTATAATTCAATGAATTGTCATGGTTTGGAGTAAAGATTAAATTCATGATATGATTCTGCTTTTTCCTTCCCATTGGGCTTGTTTCTAATAACCAATCTCATAGAGAGTGAGTGAATCAGAATTAATCTCACCACCTCAACGAGTCAATTAATGAATTGTGAGCTTAATAATTACTCCCATGGATAAATTGCTACATCCCTACTGGTCAAGGCTTTTTGTTGATCACTTCTACCCCAGTTTGATACCTGGTGAAATGAGTTAACATCAGCATGGGGTACCAAATCAGCTGGACATGACACTGGCAAACAATACTCCCCTTTTGTCCTGTCCAAACTTTAATTGGTTCTCGCTAACAGCACTTGTCCCAACCAGCCGTGTTGGCTACAAGTGAAACCTTAATTTTGAATGAATTATGCCAATGTTGGCTCAGCGATTTCATCTAGAATTTTAAGGTGTGCCAGCAGAGGGTGCTGTGTGTTGCATGTAAGATCAACTATCTATGGCATGATGTTACCCCTAAACGACTCCCCAATTAAAAATTACAAAAATACACACAGAAAGGTCACAAGACTCACGCTGACAGTCAAGTTTGCCCAGGGTATTGAGTCAGGCGTAACATTCAGATTCTGCCACAACAGCAGCGTCTTATTGCTGGGATCTTGAGGCTCCACGCAAGAACACCTGGATCGACACAACAAGGGGACATGGGTGAACATTAATACATTACACAGGAAGCAATTTTCACCGCTAAGCTTTTATAAAGGACACTTGGGTCTACTCTTGCAGAAATATCACAGTCAATACACGGTGGAAAACGTATCCAAGAAGGTCACACACACTTGGTGCGAATACTCTTTTGTTAGAAGACTGTTCTATTGGGATGTCTGAGCCATTGGTAAAATAGTATTTTGCACCAGCCCCACCTCCACAGCGCTGCATCACAGTCTTTGCATGTTCAGTTTTAAAACTGGGGACACTCGACGCAAAAAGCATCCTGAAGGAAATTGTCACGTAGCCAAGTCAATTGATGTCTCCACTCTACTCAGGGCTGCTCAGCAGCATACACACCAGTCACTGGGCTAATTGGTCACTTACAATGCGCCAGTGTATTTTTATTACGACAGCGTGTTAAAGCCGGGCATGTTGCAAAGCGGGGGGTGGACTTGGTCTTGATTGGATTATGCTGACGGTTCACATAATGGGGCATAGAGGTGTGTGGCAGGGTACTGGATATGCTTGTGGTGAATTTTTACTTTCAACAATAGGAGGCAGCAGGAAGGGATGGGGGTTGGGGAGGGGGCCTTACGAGTAGTGCGTGAGCTGCTCCAGGTCTGCGTGAGAGTTGACCTCGTACGTCTCCCCCAGGTGCACGAGCTTCTCCAGCGCTTCGTAGATAAAGATGATGCAGATGAGTGAGGCAAAGGCCTCCTCGGTGAAACGAGTGATGTAGCACACGAGCGAGCTGGCGTCCGTGGCCACCAGCAACAAGCAGAGGAACGCCGTCCACAGGCCTATGGACGCACGCAGCGACAGGTACGACAGCCCGTAGTCCCTGCAGGGATAGGACGGGAGCATCAGCAGGACCATCCTGAATGACGAGCCTTGAGACTCAACGAGGCTATTCGGGGTAGACATACAAATTACGCTAAGACATTACACAGTAAAATTATACAATGAAAGTTTCTCCTTCCAAGAATGTGCACAATACCAGGGTAAATGAAAAATTTAGTGGGTTCATTAACTTATGGGCTTTGTTCAAGCCAGCAACAAAATATCCGCAAATAGGTCAGTATGGTTCTTTCTGTAGTGCCATCTGCTGCCCAATCCACTGAAATCTTGTAATGTGTAATTTGGATTAATGGCTTGTGTTCAAACAATTACAAACTGATGAACGATATTTCAGGAATGCACCTGGGCATAAACGTTCTGCACACATCAACGGCTGCAATGAAGCTTTGAAGCCAGCCAAGGGTGTTTGTAGGCTGTGAACCATCTCTTTGTTTTCTCGTCACAAACTGTGCTCAAGTGACAATACACATCAAGTATGTGAAATCTTCCAAATAAGGGTGGCTCTCTCAGGGGACACGTGTTAATTTTCTTTGAATGATTTACACGTGCACCCCATGCTGATTTAAAAATGCAGCTGACAGTTACAATTTAGAAATGTGTTTTTTTTATCAAGGTACTGAATGTTACATACAAAGATGACCGATCGATCTACGGTGAGATCTGCCCAATATGAATATCTACAAATCCTACAGATACAAACGGACTTAACAAAATATAGATGTGTGTTAGCACCGACTCTTTTGTTTTAAAATAGATGCGTATGAGATATATGTTTTAGCATTGTTTGGAATTCATGATAATTTATTTGTCGGAGTTTTGTTTGTCTGTTGTTATTATGTTATTATTATTATTGTATTTTTGGTTCTTTCTGCACCCTAACTTTTGTGCTGTGCATTTTTGTCACTGTATTTGTATCTCAGCTCTGGGATCTTACCTGCTTATGAAATTCACTGAGATCAACAGATTCCTCTTCTCCTCCACCTACAACCATCTCTCTATTCCTGAATTTCATCATCTTTACTGCATTGAAGATTTTGTTATCCCCCACCCGAAAACCTTCCACCCTTATCTTCATCAATATCATCATCAATAATTAACAATCTACTGCCGGATCAAGGCTTCCCCAAAGCTGTTGCCACCTCTTGCGGTCCTGCTATGTACCAGTTTAAAAAATATAATTACCTCACCCCTCTGTACTACCGCCACCTCCAGCCCCTTCAAACAACAGTGCGCACTCTCTCGAGACAATTGTTTATGGATATTATAAAGACAAATTCCATTGTAGGTTGTAAAACATTTCCGTGGAAAGTGTATATTTCACAAGAGCCTCTATTGGTACGATGACCTTCCCCTGTGGACTCTCCTGCCAGCGAAAGCTGTTATGATTTTCTATAACAGCACAAGACATCTGAACTGCATGAGCCAAATGAAAACCAATCCGCCACAACAACACCAGTAATCAGCATACCGAGACAGAATTTACCTTAATTAACAGAAGACATAAATCGAAGCTCGCCAACAGGCACATCATTTTACTTTTTCAGGAGTGCCATGCTTAGATATTCTTGGTCAATTCGTAGAATTAATTTGCATGTTATAGGAAACCAGAGTGCCAGAAGAAACCCCAATCATATGAGAAAAGCACTCAACAGACAAGTTATCAACCTACTTGCTCTGCTGCCATCTACTAACTACTTTTGTCATCTAATTCACAAACCCCTATGCTCCACCAAGCCTTGCACTCCATAGCACTGGGGATAACAGGCATGCATCACGGGCCACCCCGGCCGGCAATGTCCACTCGTTTCAAAAGTCATCTCCTCCTCCCCCTCCCGCCACTCACTTGCAGAACTTGTAGAGAATCTTCTCAAAAACGAGTACGGGTCCCGTGCTGCCCAGGATGGTCAGAGGCTGCCCCGCGAACAGCGAGAACGCAATACCCGTCATTGAGGCACCAAATAGCGACTCGATTGCACTCTGCCACACGACAGCGCAGGACAAGAACAAGACAGGGAACCAAACATGAACACAGATTCCCCGTACAGACAACATAGGCCTGTTGCAGCAAGTGTTGTAAAAGCAAGCGCCTATGAAGGCCAGCATGGCATGTAAGCGGGTGGTATGGCCAGGACTACGGTCTGCCTCCTTTGTCTCCCCCCCAATCTCCCCCCCAATTGCTGATGATTTCGCACTGCACCACTAGTTCTAGGGAAGGCTCAGAACCACTTCAGATAACACTTGCCACTGATGTTAGCCGTGGCCGTGAATCGAACCAGGCCGCTGGGTTCCTAGCGCAGTGCGCTACGTACGGTGCAAAAGAAGTTCCAGATACGTACACACATACAGTGTGCTAACCACTATGCCACCACTCACCACAATAATTGAATACGCATACATGCAGGTTTACACAAAGATCCCCATATAGCCTTGAAAGGCTGCTGGGGCAATTGCTGTTAGCGAGCACCTATGAAGGCTGGCACGACACGAGGGGGTGAGTGGCCAGCATCACGCACGATCGCCTTTGTCTCCCCAGTGGCGATGTTTTTACACACCGCATCAGGTACTTATTTGAGGCCGAGTTCACATAGGGGAGGCACAAGAACGGTTCAGATAATCGTCACTGGTATTGGCCATGAGCGGAAATCGAACTCTGGTCGTCTGAATTTCGATTTAAAGCTTTCGTGACTGCATGGATTCATATTCTTGGTTCTTTCGGTAAAGTCACGTAGAAGGAAAATATTAATTAAATAAAAATAAAACATAATAAGATACAATTATCATTAGGACTCTGTCTTTCCGACAGCCCTGTTCTTCACCTGAGGACGGCTGCTTGTGTTGTGGCCGAAACGTCGTGAGAATTGTATCTTATAATGTTTTATTTTTATTATTTTATTATTTCCCTTCTACGTGACTTTACCGAAAGAATCAAGAATCTGGTCGTCTGGTTCGTAGCACAATGCGCTAACCGCTACATTCCCGTTCCCCACACATATACACACGCATACATGAGCACACAAAGACCAAGATTTACCATGAAGCCTTATAGGCTGTTGGGCACCTATTTATGATGATTTGTATTCTTGTCCACACTGGAAATCCTCACCGAGTCGCAGGACTCGTGTAATACCAATTTAGTACTCTTTTTTTTAGTAATTTGCAGGTATTTTTTGCATTGAGATATTTCGCTAATACCAGTTAAATTGCATGAGGTTTTTTTAGCTCTGGGAAGAAATCGGAGAACCCGGAGGAAACCCATGTAGACATTGGGAGAACATAAAAACTCCGCACAGAATGGCGCCCGAGTTCGGAATTGAACTCATGGCCTGCATGCAATAAGGCAAAAGTGTGGCCGCTGCATTTCCCTGCCACATGAAGGCTGCTATTGCACGCGATATTTGGTGTCGTCTTAATGATTGAGGTAGCATGGTAACATTGCGTCAACACTATCCAAGACACATACAAGCTCGCGCGAACACACGTTCACGTATGCACGCACACACACATCGGTGTACACACTCGCATACAAGGATACATTACATACATCTGCACAAAGTGTTCGCCGCTGTTGTGAAATTTAAAGTGGTGGATGAAAGCAATACGTGCGGTCACAGGATGACGTCAGGCACGTTTCACTACACATCCAGCTCTGGCACATATGCCTGCAGGTCTGACATTCCACATGTGGCAACATTCTTGTTTTAAAATGAGTTTACGGCCGTAAATGTACCCCTGTTGCTTAAAAGTTCGAAAGAATATACACAGGCATGTTTAAACGTCTACGTATTTCTTTCCATAAAATTTCAAGAGAAGTGCACGCATGTGTACGTGCATGTGTTTGTCATCGTGAATTGCACGTCTCTCGATTGTGTATGAGCAAGCATGCATTTGTTATTGTGAGTGGTGGCAGATCTGCCAGTCCTCTCAGTCACCCGAGTCCATTCCATAACCACCTGCCAGCGAGCCTTCGACACTTCACGTGGCCTCAAAATGCACCTCGCTTGGCACAAGCACCGTGGTGACGTCACCGCCACTTAGTGGCGAATGAGGGTTGTTATTGTTCTTGGTGGTACATTCGTGTATTAGTGAGTGAGCGTGCATGCGTGTATGTGCGTGTGTCAGAGGTCGCAACCGGGTACCCGATACCCGTACCCTACCCGATACCCGGCTACCCGTACCCGGCCGGGTACGGGTACGGGTACCCGTTTGCGACCCTGGTGCGGCCGGGTACGGGTACGGGTAGGCCGTGAGTCACTGTTGAGTAACCATTTGTCACTCATTTCGGGTAGGGTACGGGTAGGGAACGGGTACCCGTACCCGGCCGGGTACGGGTAAGGAATCAAAACCCGTTTGCGACCTCGGGCGTGTGTGTCATCGTGAGTCGCGCATCTCTCATTCGCACTAACTATTCTATTCTCGGTGGCCTCCCCAAGGAGTCCGCCGAAGGTGATGACGGGAGACATGCAGGCGCAGTACAGGAAGAGGAAGGAGGCCACACACTGCAGGCTGAGGGCATCGCGGTAATCGCTCCAGTACCAGGGCAGCTTCCGCTTGATGTCAGCGACGAGTCCTCCAAACAACCTGGCAAGCAAGGAAGGAGGTGAGGAGGTGTCAGAAACACAAGAGATCCCAAAGAGAGTTTGAGCTGCGAACTCAACGGGAGCTATTATTGCAGGCTCAAACGAGCGTTGGGTGGCACTGATCTATTTTAGGAGCCTTGAGCAGGTGGTGAAAATTTGAAATTCCTAGGACAGGGACCAGTCTGTCCACAGATTCCTGTTGTTGACTTCCTACCTGAAACCCAATTTGAATTTGTGACCTGCCGATTATGAGTTGAGCACTTTACCAATAGCTTTACCGGATGAAGTAAAACCAATATGAAACTAGAGAACCTACATGCTTGTACATTAGCGTAAAAATATTTCATATTTACCTGTCCATCTGTGTGCATGTCCGTGCCCACTTTAATGCAAGCTTATGTTTCTACTTAAATTACCAATTTGAGGAACCACCACGGTAGTGCTACATATCTTCCCCGAGGGTGATGTCTGTAGAGGAGAGTGTCCACGACAACAGAGGTAATGACCTGAATCTAGGGGAGATATCTGCGCAGCGCGCACTTGGGAGAGTGGATGATGAGGGTGCGGGAGGTCCAGACCAAAATCTAGCTGGAATCTCTATGTAGTGAGGGGGATTGATTACAGGGATAGACGTGATGACGGTAATCTAGGTGTGGTCTCTATGTGGTGAGCGAGCACTAAGACGAGAACAAGGAAGAAGAGACCTGCCAGTTCGCTGCAGCTCTGGTCCCATGCCATGACCCTCATGCTCTGGCTCGGCCCCAGGCGCTCCGCCGTTTGGCACATTCGGCATTTTCCGCTTCTCCTGTGGCACCACCGAGAGCCAGTGGTTAACAATATGTCATGCTATTTTTAACTGGAAAGAGATACAAATATACAATCCATGCAAATGCTGTTGTCACGCTACGGCAATCTGGTTACAAAATAATTATAACTCGCCTTTTGCCCGTCCAAGGTCGCAGACCGCGACGTGGTATTCATTGCATCAATGCGTGTGCAATTTGTAAGGGCGCGGTGACACAGACCTCTTTCGGTACGTGACTTTACCGAAAGAACAAAAAGAATATGGATTCCTGCAGTCACGAAAGCTTCAAATCAAAATCCCTTGTTCATCATGACATCCTTTTTACTTTGATGTCTCAATAGCGTTACGGAGACCACGTGACGTGAGGGTTCTACCTTTGTAGTGAGGGTTGTGAGTTGACGCCGAGGAGGGGGGAGGAGGCGCCTCGGCCCCCCCATGTGGAGCGTCGTCAGCCGCTAATTATTATGAATGGTGGGGGGTGTCCATTTGGAGGACGTCACCTTATAATGATTATTAATGAGGGGGCTGTTCGATGTGGAGTGACGTCACCTGCTCATGATTATTAATGAGGGGGGAGGGTGCTTCATGTGGAGTGACGTCACCAGCTAATGGTTATTAGGGAGGGGTGTGGCATGTGGAGTGACGTTACCCGCTCATGATTAATGAGGGGGGAGGGTGCTTCATGTGGAGTGACGTCACCAGCTAATGGTTATTGGGGAGGGGTGTGGCATGTGGAGTGACGTCACCCGCTCATGATTAATGGGGGAGGGTGCTTCATGTGGAGTGACGTCACCAGCTAATGGTTATTGGGGAGGGGTGTGGCATGTGGAGTGACGTCACCCGCTCATGATTAATGAGGGGGGAGGGTGCTTCATGTGGAATGACGTCACCAGCTAATGGTTATTAAGGAGGGGTGTGGCATGTGGAGTGACGTCACCCGCTCATGATTAATGAGGGGGGAGGGTGCTTCATGTGGAATGACGTCACCAGCTAATGGTTATTGGGGAGGGGTGTGGCATGTGGAGTGACGTCACCCGCTCATGATTAATGAGGGGGGAGGGTGCTTCATGTGGAATGACGTCACCAGCTAATGGTTATTGGGGAGGGGTGTGGCATGTGGAGTGACGTCACCCGCTCATGATTAATGAGGGGGGAGGGTGCTTCATGTGGAATGACGTCACCAGCTAATGGTTATTGGGGAGGGGTGTGGCATGTGGAGTGACGTCACCCGCTCATGATTAATGAGGGGGGAGGGTGCTTCATGTGGAATGACGTCACCAGCTAATGGTTATTGGGGAGGGGTGTGGCATGTGGAGTGACGTCACCCGCTCATGATTATTAATGAGGGGAGGGGTGCGGCATGTGGAGTGCGCGACCTTCTTGTGCGTCAGTGTAAATTTCCACGTGAGAATAAATATGAAGGGGGGGGGGGGGCTCTTTCGCAGTGGCGTCACGTACGGATGTAGCACTGTGCTGCGTAGATTTATTTTTTACTGTCACGTTCTGTAAAGAAACGTTATATTTGAAGAGACTTTGCGTAATAAATAATTTAATTCAGATCGACCTTCCTTTGTGAAATCCACCCACTCATGAATATTAATGAGGGGGGGGGTGGTGTTGTGTATGTACCCCCTTTTTATTTTTTTTTAATATTATTTTTTTTTTAAGAATTATTCTGCCAACATAGATAATATCGTTTTTTTTAATAGACGCGGCCACGTGGGAACGAACACGCCCCCACACTTCCACAGAGGCCCCCACACTTCCACAGATGCGCGCATACCTCATTTCAAAGGAGAGAGGACATGAAAGGGGGGGCAATAAGGTAATAAAAAAAAAACTCCCCTAAATTCACACAAGAGGAACAAGGGAGGGGGGGAATTGCAGGCGGGGGGTTGCATAACCAGGAGACACGGAGGAAGAGATAATTATATTCTTAACAAAGAAACAGCATCGACGACAAAAAGCACAGATGGGTCTTTGAACCATGTTAAATACACAAGTTACCAACTTAACCATAAAGATTAAGCAAACAGTATCCATCCTCACTCCAATTGAAAACCAGACGACAAAATTGCACCAGAATCGCGACCCATCATTGTTAATTAAGTACTGACATTATTTACCTTTAAAGAATATCTACACGGCCGGGCCGAAGCATCAAAGAATAATTATGGCATCTATTTCGCTCCAAAACAAAATTCCTAGCCGGGATATCAGATTAAATAATCACAAGAAGTCAAATAATAAGTACGGAATTAAAGTAGAAGAGGAATCAAGGGCGGAGAAGGCTCTCAAAATTAACCAAACACAACAACCCATGGGAAGCGAGCAACACGGCCGCCTTTGTCTTTCCGAGAGGATCTCCACACGCAGGCACAAAGCTAGGAAATGACACCCATAAAGGGGGCAATGGCTCAAAGGAAATTAACACGTCTTCGAATAAATAAGCGCATGCGCCGGGTGCTCCCACCGTGGAAACAACCGCCTTTGTCTCCCCACAACACGGACAAACACGCACGCGAAACACACGGACGGACACACACACGGACGCAGATGGTCCACCCCCACAGGAAGGTTTTATGACACAGCTTTTGAACAACTCGGGAAGCCGAGTGGAATTTTCCGATATAAACCGAAGGAAAATCCATACAACTCAGATCGACAGGGGCTCTGGCCTCCATCACAGATATCGTCCGGGCTTCGGCTCCAACACACATATCATCCGGGCTACGAGCCCATCTTCGGCTCCACCACAGATCGACAGGGGCTCTGGCCCCCATCACAGATCTCCAGGGCTGTGGCTCCATCTCTCCTCGTCGCCGCCAACGAAGAAGCTCCTGTCATTCAGAATGACGAGGTTTGCGGAGTAGCGACGCGTAGCTACAAGCCGAGGTCTGCACCACCTGAGAAGAATCGCTACCCTGAGTCGCAGAGCTGCGAGTGAAGCCAACAAAGACGCCAACGTCCACCCTGCCACGAACGAAGCATCGCTCCTCGTCAGAGTGACGACCAGCGAACAACCCGCAGGAAAGGCGGAGATCGCTGAACGAGCGACAACGAGCGACACCTTGCGCCACCGAGCGACACCGAGCGACACGAGCGACCGAGCATCTTCAAGGACAGCATCGTGCCAACTCGTCATCTAGCAGTAGAAAGAGAGAGCGCACGAGCAGCACCAAGCCCCGGAACCATCAAGCGCCAAGCAAGCAAGTTTCTTCAAGGAACATCGTGCCAACGCTGCTCAATCCAGCAGTGGAGAGAGAGAGAGAGAGCAAAAGCCGAGCGACACGCCGAGCGAGGGAGCAGCAGGAGCTGTTCGTATCCTCCCACACCACACAAGCTAACGACACAATTAATATTACGAGGGGACAACGCACACACAGCACGCACACGAATAAGACTTTAAAAGAAAAACTGTCTTTTCGTTTCAAAAAGGGTTGCCATTTCGAGGTGGTGCGTTCAATATCAACTGATCGTGCAAAGCAGTTGCTGCCGTCGAGTTACATAAATGCATAAGAGTTTTCGTTATTCATATTGCATAATTGCATAATGTCACAACTGCATAAGTTTTTGTCGTTCATATTAGTTAATTGCATAATCTTGCCCATGAATTATTGACGCATGTTTGACCTGCATGATAGAATGTCACGTGCTTGTTAGAATAAAATTGTAATCCAGAAGCATATCGAGTGTTCCTTCCAAGTCCATGCAAAACTGTCTTATTCTTGACAACTGTATCCTGTGATGAGATATGAAAATGGAGACCTAAAATATTATAACACACACTAGGATAATCGGTAAATGAATCTATGATAATCGTGTTATCCTGATTGATAACTCTGGATAAACGAAACTAAGCAAATTATCATAACTGCACACATTAACATAATCGCAAGCCTCCGCATAAATTACTACGATTATCATAATTTATGCATATTAATACACACACTATCATAATTAATGCGATTTGCGCATTTTTCGGAAAATTATTAATTTTTATTATTTTCATCAAAATTTCATAATCACAACACATACAACATAATGGGTGGCGTCGTCCGGGATCTCTCACAGACAGTGTTTTGCATGGATGATGGAATGAATCACTTCGTGTTAACCAGAATATCAGGATCGAACATTGCATGGTAATTGTGAAGTATGGACAATTGTGAACGGGCGGAAAACAAAAAACGCCCTCTAAGGTTAAAACCCAGAATAGCAGGTTAAAACAGAGACAGTGGAATTAAGATAATATCGTATCAAACCAATTGCATCCTGTGATAAATGGTGTTAGAGGTACGCACTCTGAATCGGAAAATAACAGATAGCTCGAGTCGAATTGACTACACTCTGTGAGATAATTGTTTTATATGCACTCTGAAAGGGAATGTCAAAGTAACTCCCGCCACACCTTGAGATGCTAGGATTAAGAATAATTTTTGAATGGGTTACGGGATACGGGGAGCTCGTATTTAAACGTACCGACCAATCTGTTACAAAGCAGTACAGTCAGAGAGACATATGGGAAGGGAGCTGTATCGATAACACGAACACACCTCGGGGGAAACTAATTGACTGGATAAAAGGTAACGAAGGCGAACACGATGCAAAAACTGCAGAGAAGGCAGGACAGGACTCATTCCTTCTCACACAGGCATACAGACAGGGATTGTGGAATGAGGGAAAATTTGGAAAGGAAACGGGAGAGAAATCAGTGCTCGCGACACCAGCGAAACTCACAGACGTGGATCCACAGAATAAATATGGAAGTGACATTAAATCACACTCTTGGGTACGTGGACAGAGTCCAGGGACTAATCGCACAAAAATTATGGATGTCGAACAAAAAATCCTTGACAAAGGGAAACCCTCACAATTCGAGAGAGGGAGGAAAAATGTTAAAATAAAGTCGACAGGACATGCTCCACTAAGGGCAGAGGCAAAAACTGAAGGGAAATGGCAACACGCCCGACACGGCACAGACCAAAGTGACAGATTGC